GTTTCAATTATAGTGGAAAAGAATCTGAGATAGATGGTATGAAAGCATCTGAGCTAATTGTATATTCAGAAAAGCACAGGAAGGTTACAACAAGAATGGCTGCACACAAGATAAGAGATGTGGCAAATGACTTCCTTACCGATGTTGAAATATATTTTGTTGAGCTAATAAAAAGACTACGCGTTGAAGATATGAGTGATATTTTGTGTGGAAAGCTACTGTTTATGATGCAATCAAAGGGTTGTAGTATTGATAGTTTCTCATTTATTGGTGATAATTGGAAGGAAAAGACTTCTTTGATTGTGAATGCTAGGTCTATTGAATGTAATATTGTAGATATTGAATCACATATAGAAAAGCTTATGACAAAGGAAATGGGAAACTTTGTAGATTCCAGCAGATTTGATATTATTAGGCTAAAGATGGCCAAAAGGAGTATTGTGACGACTAATGATGGAATAGAGGATGGACAGGTAGCTGCAACCTTTTGTGCTATATACAGATCAAAACTAGTATATGTTCCTCAAGAAGATGGTTGGTACTATTTTGAGAAGGCTAAGCATGGATGGTCTAGTATTGATGCTAGGAAACCTATTGAGCTGAAGAAGCTTATTGATGAAAACTTTTGCATGATCCTGAGTAAGGCTGTGAAATATTTTGAGAAGAAGGATAGGGACTTATCTGCAAATCTTAAGGGTATCATTGCTAGGATAGGTAAGGGTTCCTTTACCATTGAAAAGCTAATCAAGATTCTGGAATATAAGCTCTGTGATGACAAATTCTATGATTTGATGGATAGTAAGCCTTGTATTAGGTTCAAAGATGGTGTACTGGAGACACATGATGATGGTACAACAAGTTTTAGAAATGGTGAACCTTCTGACTATTGTACAAAGGCTTCCAATTGTTATTTCAACTATCATGGTGGCATGTCAGAAAAACAAATAGAAAAGCTAGAAATGAAGGCTGCAAGTATATTCAAGAAAGCATTCCCTAGAGAAGATGTGAGAAGGTTTGCAATGAAATACTTTTCATCAGTATTTGAAC